AAAGGCCAAAAACTTACGGGCCCCGTATGGGGTGTCGATCCCTGACCCACAGCAGGAGGAAAAGGAGGAGGAGGTTAGGAAGGTACAGTTGCAGACAGCGTCAAGGTCACCTGCAAAACACAGGAGGAACGGTAACAAAGCAGCCAGGAAACCGTTGGCAGTGCATGCCGCGGGCTAGGGGAAAAGCGGGGCAGGGCGGCCAATCAGACAATGAGCAACCAAGCTTGTGAGGTGTTAGGAGAGCATGTGAGGTGTTAGGTGAGCGTGTGCAGTGGTCACAGGACTACTGCAGCACCCACGGGTCAACAGTAGTGTTCCTTGCCGTGCCCAACTGGGCAGGTGTGGGGATGCAGAGGAGCACCTGCTGTGAGCTTTTTCCCGTGTAGAGAGGACCGTTAGAGGGGCGACCAAGACAACCCAACCAGGCACCAAGAGGGCAGGCAAACGGAACAAGGGGTCAGCAGTGCAGCACCTGTCGCAGGCATGACGCTTGTCCGAACAGCTGGAGTCATCATGGGGACTGCAGCCAGCCAACAGGGCCGGGCCGCAATGCCACTGGCATGTACACCCCTGCTTCCCATGCAACTGTGTTGATCACGGCCCCGGTGCTCCATCTACCTGCAGGTCCGGGACCACCGCTGCAACAGCCGCGGCAGCAAGACCAATTTTGAGCGGGACAACAGGGCTCAGACTGACGTCAAGGTTGGGCTTCGCTGGTTCCACAGGTTGCTGCGCAACATCCTCTGTCACGCCCCCATCCTGGATCATCAGAAGTTCCTGGATGCCTACCCGCCAGAGATGGCTGCATTTCATAGCAGTGGTCGCATCAGCAAGGTGCTGACCGCGACCTACGAAAGCCCGAAGCCCAGGCGCAGCGGCGCCGCAGCAGCGGCGCCCAGTGTGGAGGCAGCAGCAGCACCCAGCACGGCGGCAGCAGCGGTGCCCAGCATGGCAGCAGCAGCGGCGCCCGGTGTGGCGGCAGCAGTGGTGAGGGGGGCGCAGTGTAACTGCAATGGCTGGCAAATGCACACCTGTGCACCTGGCCCCAGTGGCAGGCTGTGGTCAGTGCAGGCCGCTGGTTCACACCACCGGCAGGCATGGGGTGTGAGGGGAAGGGGAAGGGGGAAATCGGAAATGGGAGAGCAGCTGGATTAGAATGGCACCTGGATTTGAAACGGCGACTTCAGACAACGACGGACCCACAGCAGCAATCTTCATGTGGACATTGCTGCTGCTGCCTGTCCGCGCCACTACTCTGCTACGGCTGCCCAACGTTTCCAACCACCCACTCACCGTCTGATGGCGGCCCGACTTGGCCCTGAAGATGGTGGTGGCGGTGGGGCGGGTGGTGATGGTGCGTCCAACAGCGGCCTGTGTGGCATGTGTGGCATATTGCAGTGCATGGAAGGGGCCCACTAGCCGCCTGATAACCTCACGAGTAGCTTCTATATATTGATCAACGTATGTGTCATCCTGAGGGTGATGGGTGGTGGTGGCCGGTTTACGGAAGTAAGTGGACTAGCACACAGCATGGAAGGCCTGGCATCATGAAGAGTTGCGTAGACAGACCTTCTGATTGGCACGCACATGTTCGGCTGTAATGCAGCTAGCAGCTTGACCGTTGCCATTCGTGCTATGCTTACATCATGAACCTAAATCATGTCATTGTATGTGAAAATACCAGAGCTGTACTGTCAAGATTACATGTAAACAAAGCTATGATCGCATGTATAATTGGGCTTGCTTAGGGTTATCTTCTGCCTAAGTCGTTGGTCTGCAAACCACCTAATCGTATTCAAAGTAACTGTTGTACGATTCCCTCAATATTTTAGGGTTCTATGTCTCGCTCTCGCCCTAGAAATCAAGCTTTCGTAACTAGCTGTGAACATCCAGCATGCACAGGCCATGGGAGGCTTTGGCGACATCACGCGCCACTTTGGCCTACATGCTTGCACGTGTCTATCACGCTGGCCGTCGACGCTTCCTCCAACAGCTTTCCAACGCCGCTGAGCATGATAAGCGTCGCCCATCCCCAACAGCAGGCAAGCGGCATGTCCCGGAAACTGCTCTCCACCCGCCACATAACTCCACCAGGACTAATACCCGCCGGCAGCACCTTTGCACCCACCATCCCTCCTCCCTCTCGCCCAACTCCAACCTCCGCTACCCCCTTACAAAACCCTTTTCTTCCACGCGCACACAAACTCAACCAACGTCTCGCTCCACGTCGGCAATAGAACAGCACAACGCCCACCGCAACCGGACATAAGGACACCGCCCGCCACTACCAGCGAAGCGTCCGCGGAGCAGGTGGGGACGGGAGAGGGCAGGGGAAGCAGCAGCGTGGGAATGGACGGACCCGTGGGTCATACAGCGCTCTTTTTCCCTGGGATGCTTATGTGTTAGCTGGTAGTAGTTGGATGGTAGTTTGGCGGTTGGCACACCGAGACCTGCAGTCCAGCGCCCCTGTCATTGCCATGTCATTGTTCCTGGTGTGTTCGGTCTGTCTGTCTGTCTGTCGTCCGT